CTAACTCTTCATGGACACAAGTTACTTTGAATAGAAACTGTTCTTTATATCTCTTATAGCACCTAGCCTTAAAATATATATTTATTAAATTATAATTTAAGAAGCATATTTTAGGAATTAATGAGTGTTTTATCCTTTATCATATGTTGATTGTACGATTAGTGTAATTACTTTGTGTTCTCTTTTCCCTTATTTTAATAATACTAAATATGTAGTCAAACAGACAAAGATTTTTCAATACATTTTTCAAGTAGTTATAATTTTAGAGTCTTTAAGAACTACGTAAAATTTCATTTTGGAAATGGTGAGGTAGAGTTTGGTGGAGAGTTGGGAACAATATGATTTAAAGAAGCAAAGCGATGAACTCTAGAGAAAGGTATTTAAGAGAAATAAAATATAATCTGGCTCTCTGGTGAGAAAAGCTAACATTCATTTGAAAAATTTTTAGATATATTGTCTTTCTAGGATATAAAAGCACCAAAAAAAAAAAAAAAAAAAAAAGTACTGATTATCATAGTAGAGAAAACGAAAAAGCAACTGATGATATTTGAATTTGGAGTTTTATACAATTAATTATTGAGATTTTCACAGCTGGACTGTAGGCTAGAAGTGGTGGCTCATGCCTGTAAGGCCAGCACTTTGGGAGGCTGAGACAAGATGGCCATTTGAGCCCAGGAGTTCAAGACCAGCCTAGGCAACGTAACTGAATCGTGAATTTGTCTAACCACTATGTAAAGGAAAAATTCAGCTCAGGAATAGTGGAAGAACAGATAAGGAAAATGAAGTCAATTACATTTATAACAGGGTAGCATAGGATGTCAGGAAAGAAGTGAGTGAAATGTTCTCATTCTGATTTTACCAAACTAGCTTTAAGACCTTGGGCAACTCACTCTCTAATTCACTGTAAATATGTTTAGTTAAACAATATTTAAATATCTTCCAGATTACACATATCTAAATCAGAGCATGAAAACTGGAAGAAAAAAAAAAAAAAGCAGGTTTAGGCAGCAGTGGCTTAGAAGATGTGGCAGACTTTGATGATGATCTGAATATGAAACAAGATAGAAAACAAAGTAGATAATTAATGCTCATAATGAATAAAAACTAAAGAAGCATAGTTCTGGAAACTTAGTCAGATATTATAAGTGTCATGTTATCATCTGAGGATTTTAAATGATATGATACACCTGGGTTTGCTTTTCTAGTAAATTGGGTAATTTTGGTCTGTGATATGATTATCAGTATTCTGTATCAGTACATTTTTTGTGGTTATATAAAAATCTTAATTTTCCTTTTTAAGAAATAATCATGGGGGAAGCTCAGTAGTATATTTTGTACATGTGTTTTACAGAAGTAATTGTTCATGGTAGATTATTATAATAGCATTTATGAATTCCTATACCTGTAATTTAAAATATTAAAGATGAAAAATAATGTAAATTTTATGGCTTCTTAAACTAGAGTAAATCATATTTTGGCCAATATCAGCCCAGTTTTTTTAAAAAAAACATATTTCAGCAAGGGAGCTGGGAGGTAGCATTTTGTCCATTTATTGATGCAAAGAGGCAGTTATTATGTCAATATGGAACAAAATTTTGAAAAGACCAAATGGAAACAGAACAAAGAAGGTGGCTACAAGAGACTCTAAGTCTTCATGCTTTTTCTGTAATATGGCTGAATAGATTACTGCATTTCCTTAATTTGATGGTGACATTGCAAAACAGATTCTTATCCAAAAGAAGAAGCAAGCCAACACTGAAGGAAATAGGAGGTGAAATAGACAAAATGAATTCAGACCAGATAAAAATGCTCTAGCAATAGTCCACCTGTGTGATGGTGAAGTTGTGAGCTACAATAGAGATGGACAGGAGGCTAGTTTGGGAAGGTGGCAAGGTAGTGGATAATGTTCTCAAAAGTTCTGCATCAGAAACTAAGAGTAAAGTGGTCTATTATTTGTTATTTTATTCCCCCGGTGTATCTAAAAGATACTTAAAACATCTATTGAGATCCTTCCCACATTCTGTTGGAAACAGTAAAAGAGCTGTAACAATGTACAGAAATGTAACATAATAAGTGCGATTAATGTTACATAAAGTATAGAATGACAATAAAAATGTACTTTCAACACGCCTAGTTAGAACTCTAATAAAAAACTTTGCCTGGTTTTCTTATTCAAGGATTCAAATACCAGGCATCAGTGTTTTTACATAAAAATACAGAGAGGGATTTTTGACTCCAAATTTTGTAAAATAACACAGATGTATTTGCTGTGACTGAAGTAATACTCCAAAATGAAAGTTGTATACAGTTCCCATAATTACTTGTAATATAATGGACAGGATAGTAATTAGGAGAGCTCCTTCTATCTCTTACTTCCCAAAGAAATGGTGAGAAGTCCACTTCAGAGGCTAGTAACCGAGATCTATTCTCTGTGCCCCTTTGTTTCTTCTTGCCTCATGTTCCAGTTTTTCCTCGAATGTCTGTGTCTTGCTTTGGATCCCTAGTTACTAAACTGAAGTCTTTGCTTGTGCACTTTTTTCAAAACACCATCCTTGAGTACTGTGGTTATGCTTCCCTTCAATAGTTCAACAAAATTCAGGCTGTAAATTGAGGGTCTGTCCTGCTTTCCCCCGATTCACTGCTGTGTAGTGATGAATGGAATGTTGATGGTTGTGCAAGGTTTCTAAACCCCTTTTCCTGGGAAGTACTACATTCTTCCGGAGCAAATAGGAGGCACATACAGATTCTCTTTGATGTAGAAACCTGACATTTCTTGTGCTGCACTTAAATATATGTCCCGCAACAATTAAGCTGCACCTTAGGATGTAATGCACTGGTTAATTTCTAAATCCCTGTTAGTATGTTGTTTGCATGACAATTACATAAACACACACACACACACACACACACACTTAAGAAAGAAATGTTAATGATCTTTTAAAATTTACTTATTATACTTTAAGTTCTGGGTACATGTGCAGGTCATACAGGTTTCTTACATAGGTATACACATGCCATGGTGGTGGTTTGCTGTATCCATTGCCCCATCATCTACATTAGGTATTTCTTCTAATGCTATCTCCTCCCCAATCTGTTCACACCCTGCTATTCCTCCCATAGCCCCCATCCTCCAGGCCCCAGTATGTGACATTCCCCTTCCTGTGTCCACGTGTTCTCATTGTTCAACACCCACTTATGAGTGAGAACATGTGGTGTTTGTTTTTCTATTCTTGTGTCAGTTTGCTGAGAATGATGGTTTCCAACTTCATCCATGTCCCTGCAAAGGACATGAACTCATCCTTTTGTTTTGGCTGCATAGTATTGAATGGTATATATGTGCCATATTTTCTTTATCCAGCCTATCATTGATGGGCATTTGGGATGGTTCCAAGTCTTTGTTATTGTGAACAGTGCCGCAATAAACATGTGTACATGTGTCTTTATAATAGAATGATTTATATTTCTATTTCTAGATCCTTGAGGAATTGCCACACTATCTTCCACAATAATTGAATTAATTTACACTCCCACCAACATAAATAACACAACTATGAATTATATTTGTCCTCATGTCTTGTCTAGGCTTTTATATTTCTTATTAGTAGAGTTGCTTTTACAATAAAAATATAAATATGTGTCCAATGTTGCATGTGAACAGAAAGGGACATTCCATTGAGAAGAGTAATGACATATTGATCTTCTAAAACCCAAATTGGACCTTAGAAATTGGGACATAGAAGAGAAATAGACAGAAGTAGAGTCAAGGATGTAAAAATAAGCAACAAAAAATGAACAACATATACTTATTCATGAGATAATCTTTATTCATGTGGCCCCCTCTTAGATTTCTTCACGTATTATGTCTCCCCACCTGATTAAAATTTGTAAACAAGTGCATTCTAACCAGGGATGCTGTGTATATTTGTATGTTGTCCTTGGATTATGTAGGTGACTGAACAGTAGTAATTGAAAATGCTTCCTTTAAAATGTCACCGTGGAATAATGTTCCTTTCTGTTTCTTTATTTCGGTGTTGGAAAGGAAACTAAGTTTTCTTCTTTAAATAAAGAAAAGAATATTTGTCCTGTGTACTCCATATGAAACAGAGAATGTTGGTAGGATTACCTTTCATTTCTAAATATATACTGGGTATAATCATTTTAAGGCATGACCTGATATCTGTCTTGCTGGACAAAGAAAACACAAATGACTAAATCAGTGTTGTTTAATTGCAGCTGTCGGGAAAGCCACCTGAAAAAATTATGAGACCAAAGTTTTCTTTGCAGTGTCTCCATTTTTTTATAGTACCTGTATCAATCTAGGAATTCTACTTAATATTTTACTTGAAAAAATAATTCCTCTACTCATTTTCACCTTCCTGCCTTTCCTCATATCTTTCTTGCTCCCTAGGAATTATCTTCCTTCTCCTTCTATTTATTCTTGAAATTACCCCTCATATTCTACCTTTTCAATAAAGACTTCAGCCATCACCACTCACGCCCATCTCTAGCTCACTAGCAAATATCTGAGTTTATGGTCAGTTCCAACAAAGTGCTTATCTACTGAGTGTGAATTTTCCTTTTGCCTTGAGTCTTTTAAGTTCCTACTTACACATTTTCCATATAGTAGCTAACTCCATGTTATATTTAACTCAGTGTCTAACTGCCTGGGATGTATACAACACTAATGTGACTTTGTGCCAGCCTGTTGACTTTTCTCTGTCTCCAGATTATCAGAACCTGGAGAAGTGTTAGGCACACTCAGATTTAATATATCATTAGATTGTTTACTTTGAGGCAGTGTCATCCTTATTAGTATAGGGCATTATATTCCTGAATAGCAGAATTCTCCTCCATTCAGGAAGTTCAGTCTTATTCATTCTGTATTATTGCACAACAAATAAAAGACTTTGAATTTCCTTATATAAGTATATTGATAGAGGACTAACCCATTTTTTCCCTATGCTTTACAACTATGATAAGTAACTGTAATTTTTTTAAAGGTCCTCCTGGACCTCCAGGTGAAAAAGGAGATCGAGGTCCCTCTGGAGAAAGTGGTCCACGAGGCTTTCCAGGTCCAATAGGTATGGCAATCATGGTTATTTAATCATATACTGTGAGGATAGATGATATACATCTGGGTACATGTGTAGGGGAGGATTGCTATTTTATTTATACCCTGCAGAAGGTGTGAGTAAGCATCTGTGTGTGCGTGTGTGTGTGTGTGTGTTGGGGAGGTATTAAATGTTCTAGTGGCCTAATCATATAATATACCGAATGGTAAGCATTACTCATGATTTTTGAAGAAAATAAATGGTTTAACCAGATTAACCAAATGGAATTGTTCATAAGACTAGGGAGTGCCATGTATATAATAGACAGCAAACAGTATAAGGCAGACCTAACCTAGATCATATATGAAGGGGAGTACAAAAACTATCTTCATGTTGAATAAATCATCTTCACATTTACAAGCTGTCTGATTTTTAAGACATAGAAACTCATACTAGTAGTGAATTATGAATCACAAGAAAATTGGACTATATTTCTTGTATAGTCTTTGACTGGAATATATCTGTTTAAGCTAATGAAATCTGAATGTAAATATTGGTTAAAATATGGATAACATTTACCTTTGCTGTCAGTCGCTCTGTATTTTACTAAGAGCAAAGTTGTTTCAGATTATTTTCCTCTAAGTTGTAATCTTCAAAGAATTATTTTGAAAGAAGACAATGGAAGACACAGAAGAGAGAACGTCAACTATCTTTGCTTAAAAAAAAAAGATAATAACATAATTGTCGTGTTAGCCTTGGCTAGAAATCAACTATCATGCATTCTATCTGAAAGTAGGAAGTACATTGCAAGGTCTAATTATAACTAGAATGGTTTGTCTTAACAAAAAAAAAATGTCTAAATACCATGTACTTCGTCTTATTTTTCTGTCTTTTAATGATATAAAGGGTTCTTCTTTCTGATCAATTTATTGACTAGCCCTGGTCACATCAGACAAATAATTTTTGAAAATGAATAGCATGACTAAGGCTAAGCAGATATTAACAATGGTGCATTAATGTCATAAGCAAGGGAAAGAACCAGTATTAAATCAGCTGCCAGAACTACTATTGTCAAGGGTCGGTTAGCTACTTTATGCAAACTGCAGTTGTCAGAACTTCATAACTCAACCATGAAAGTTTAGTCTGGGCTACAACTTGCCATACAATGCTTCATCTTGGGAACATCTTCTGCAGCTGTTTCTGAACTATGAATGTATGAAATAGAAGCATTTGTAAATTTCAGCTTGTGTTAATGTTATAAATAGACACCATTGCAAAGAATCTTTGATTTTGGGTTTTTTTTTTTTTTATTTTTTGTAAATCAGCAATTTGTCATGGTTTAAATTTATAGGGTAAAAAGTGATGTCATAATTTGTTGCTTTTGGTACTGCTCATTTACACAAACAGGCATTACCTAGGTCCTTATAAAAGACAGGTCGAGTTCCTGGGAATAATCAAATGACTGGGATAATCAAACGACTCTTAGGTTATCAGGTTATCATTTAGTTTGGTACACTGCAAGAAAAGTATCCAAAATACCAGGAATTTTTCCTAATGAATTATTCGCTTATTACTTGGTACAACCTGTTTAGTTATTTGCCAGATTGTCTAATTACCTCATTTTTGATACCAAAATCAGGAAGTAAAGAGTATATGATGGATAGTCATAATAATTCTACTTTCTAATTTGAGCGGGTTTACTAAGTCCCCATCTCTACATCCATTGGAGCCCACTAAACTCAGCTTGAACAAGTCACTCTCACCAGGACTCACAACCATGATGCAAATACCTGCAAAACCTAAGTGGTTGTCCTAGTGGCCTCAAATAATTAATACATTAAATATAGTAGAATTATTACTTATATATTGGGGTGGATATTATGTTTAAATATGCTTTATTGCCCAAATAATAAAAAATTTATTTGAGAGGACTATTTCCTTGAAAGCATGCCAGGGAAAATGACCTATCACTTTGCACTCACAATAAAATGTACTGAGTACTTTCTCCAAGCCTGGTGTTCTACAATACCCTATAGAGAATTTGTAAACAGATACAGAGTCTCTGACTTCACAGAGCCTCCAGGATGATAAAGTAATATTATAAGGGAGGCGAATGTCATGATCAAGGATTTTTGATCTCATGTGAGTTCCTTTTAAGGGGCTGCTTTTAGAGTTGTTGTCCCTTGACAGCAATGCTTTGAAGGTGAAACAACTCTTTCTTTTCTAAAGGAAACTCTTTGTATGCCATCTAAGGAGCTGTTTATGCCCAATGTAATCAATAGCAAGGTAGCCTAACTTGTAGGCATGGGAGGGGCAACCTACATAAGATGCCCTGGGAGAGAACTGAAGGCTTCTCTGGGTACAAAATTTTCAACATCAACCAGTACTATTTACTTTCCTTACATAGACTGAATTTTCCATTGTAGGGATCGTGCTTCTGAAAGAGAAAATAAAGCTCTCCTAACCACAGGTATTGGAAGAGAGGAACCATGTTTTCTTAATTTGGAAGAGAGAAACCAATTTAATTTTATATCCACATATATCTTTACCCCATCCCACCCCTTCCCATAAGCTGCGGCCCAAGAAGGCCCCTCCCTCAGGCTTCAGTGAGGACAGGATCCTAAATATACACCTGAATAAGGAGTGTTGCCTGGCTGCAGGCTGCTGTTCTATGCCTGAGTATTGAAAGCAGATTTCTTCTGGAGGTAACAAATTGTGCCAATGAATCAAAAAATTCACTGCTAATTGTAAACATATCATTAAATATAGGAAGTAGAAAAGTTCCTCTTTAAAGTTTCCTTTCTTGTTTAAGAATAAATCAAAAGTGTTAGAAATAATAGTTTGTTTTAAACACTTTCTTGAAAGCCTTCTTGCTTTTTGCTAATAACTCTTTTTTAAGCCCTATCCTGTGTAGCTGTTAGACTTGCTCCCAGGCACGTAGTACATTCTATATCCTTGTACTTTAACCAAGAATTTGTGCTAGACATGCTCACAGGCACGTAGCACATTCTATGTCCTTGTACTTTCACCAAGATATTTATGCTATTACTTTTCTAGCAAGCAATTTCATGTCCCTTCCTTATTTGGACTTCCTCTTTTCCTTTTGTTCTCCATTGCCTTTACCTACCTATTCAATAAAGTTTTAAGCTGTTAGCTAGTCAGGTTCATTTGTAGATTGTGAAGTCTGGCTCCAACCAACTGAGATCATACACAGCAGTAAGGACAACCCCAAATGCATAAAGGATAAATATGTCTGGGTTTTTTTTTGTTTGTTTGTTTGTTTTTTTTTTTTTTTTTTGTTATACTCTCATGGCAAGACTGCTGGTGAAGGCGCCCTTTCTGCAGGAAGTAAAGATTGCCTTGCTGAGAGATCCTTTGTCCCAGTGCTGACTTTTCTTTGCAGCACCAAAAATTCACATGTAACATTAAATAAAACTAAATTTAGAAGCCTTTACAAAGGCTGATGAAAATAATAATTGTATTTTTGGGGAGGAGGTTGAGGAAGACATGGAGGAGAACAAGAAAAGCTAATATTTACTAAGTATTCATTACATGCCAGGCACTTTTCTAAGTGTTTTACATGAATGGAGCTCTTTAAATTATCACATCAGCCTGATGATGCAGAAACAAATAATATACCCATTTTACAGGTGCAATGCACAGGGAGGTCAAATGAGTTGCTCAAGGTCAGTCAGCAACTGGTAAGTGGCAAAGCTCATATTTGATCCTTGATGGGCATGAGTGCAGAGTGCAGAGTCTGTGCCCTTAACCAGTCTGCTAGATTGCAGAAAGCCTGAAAAGAGCAGGGCACCCAGGATATGTGAAAAATTATCAGACCAGTTTTACATAAGTGATTTGATCGCTCTGGTCTATGGTACTGTCTCTGTAAAATGATGGATTCTGACTGGATGATATCTAAGGTTTCTTGGAACATCCCATGGCTGAGATTCCATTTATTGTACTTATATTCTCCATGAGTTAGAAGCAGGTGCCAGACCCTTTCCCATTGCCACAGATTATTGTAGGAAATTAGTTAATTGTCTCCTGAAAGGCTCAGGGTATCTGATCTTATGGAATAAAGTTCAACAGCAGGGCTGGTATTTGGGAGACTACATTTTCAAACATCATTAAACAAACAAGTCACATAACTCCATAGGCCATATAAAGTCTGCTTAACCATCTCCTTGAACAGAGGTCTGTGACTCACTGATTTCTACGAAAGTATCTCAGACTCTTCCTTTATAGATTTATTTGCTTATCCATTGAAAATGTACTTGATTTGTAGTTGAACAACCTTGATTTTTAGTTGAACAGCTGTATTCTGAGCATCACTATAAAGTACTTGAGAAGTCATCATTGGAGAGGCTTCTCTGATGCTCCTGTCTAAAGCAGGCCCCGTGGCATTCGCTATTCTATTACCCAGTTTTTCCAAAATTATAACCCCGAAATTGCCTTCTTTCTTTGCTACTATCTGACTCTCATTGTTTCTCCACCCTGGAAGATCTGTTTGGATAAGGATATTTTTAACTCTAGGAATATACTAAGATGTGTACAATATATATTTCTTAAAGAAAGAAATAGTAAAAGCGGAGGTTACTTGTGAATGACACTCTACAAAAAGTAGGGGAATGTTTTCACATTTTTTTAATTGGCAGGATTTACTGTCAGTGTTTTTATTTGTAAATTGGAATGATAGATCTCAGTAGCTACCAGTGCAGAAGTCTCACTACCTTGATTCTATAGTGAAGGAAGGTATAAATATTAATCAGCTTGTACTGAGAACAGATGTTTGGTCTTTTTAGAATGCTACGAAGTCCATCCAATATATACTACTTTGTAATTAAATTGGGTTGAAATGTCCTGACTTTATTAATATTTCTATACATAGTTTATCACTTTATTGCTTTGGAAGCAGTAGTTCTAAACGTAGTTTATTACTTTATCGCTTTGGAAGTTTGCTTAATTTCTGTTGGAATAAAAGTTTTAAACTGAGTTAAATAATATTTTTTACTAGTAAGAATAATGTACTTCTTAAATTGATCACTTCTTAGAGGACAGTTAGCCCATTTTTAAATGTCTTTATTAATAAACCTCAAGAAAAGATTTTTAAAGTGAATTTAATATGTGTAAGTCCTGTCTTCTGGAAGTTATAAACTAAAAGTAATATTCTAAAAGGTTGATATTGGGAAAAAATGTATAATCAATTTCTTACAATATGCTTCCCCAAGGAATCAAGTGAAGCTGGGTTAATGGGATCTCTCTGAATTGATAATGACACAAAATAAGATCCTTAAACTGTGTTACAATAGTTTATCAAGAACCACTATACTCTAGGATAAAATATTCTATTTCATAGGAATGTAACATTTTCTTTTATATGTAGTTTTTATGGTCACCATAGTAATATTGGGTAAAAATTAGCCATTTTCAGTTTTCATATATGTATATAACACCCTGGATTTGTGTAAGTATATAATACATACTCGCAAGTAAATCTGTGTATTGTGTGTGTGTGTGTTTGTGTGTGTGTGTGTGTGTGTGTGTTTATTTACTCTGGGATTACAATGAAATATGTAAGAACAGACCCATGATAGATAAAGTAATACATTTTTTATTTTATAAACACTCTTTGATACTTTACATTGCTTGAATTGCATTTTTTTTTCCTAAGGCAAATCTTAAGAATTCAATTTTCAGCTTATGTATTTTAAAGTTGTCATTTCAGCTACAACAAAATCCTGCCATTTGATGATTACTGATTGACTACATAAGCCTTCTTGTTAAAACCCCAAGATTTGTTTTTTCTAATGTGCTTTTATTTCTACTAATAATATGTTATTTATTGAATAGCTACAATATGCTAAATATACTAAGGTTTATATTTATTGCTTATATTACCTTTCAATGTCACACATTAAATTTTAGGAAACTTATTATTCCTCTATCTGGAGATTCTCTAATTTCATATTTACTGATAAAGCTAGATTTTTTCATTATACTCCCAAGTCTGTATGAAAAGTACCTCCTTTTCTTCTTCATTAATAATGTAGGTACTCCAGGTCTTAAAGGTGATCGGGGAGCAATTGGATTTCCTGGAAGTCGAGGATTCCCAGGACATACAGGAAGGCCAGGTATTATGATAATGTGTATTTTCTTTATAGAATATGTAGAAGAAACACCAGATTATTTATATGTATGCATAATACTGTATATAGTATACATATTTTAAAATTATTGGATGATTAAAAAATGATTATTATTTTGTGAATAGTAGTATTCACATGCAGTTATTTTGTGGTTTCTGAAATCAGATTTTTGAAACTGACTTCTGTTCGCCTAAGGAAAGTTTCTATATTCCAAAGAAAAATCATGAAAAAAAAAACCACACAGGATTTATAAATTCTTCACAATCATAGATCATCATGAACAATGATATCCATCTCTGAACAAAGAGACTTGAAAGACTGGCAAATTAAAAGAAAAAAAAAAAAGAAGCAAAGTATAAATACCTGTTTAATCACAACTGGCCAAACTTTGTAAAGTTACAGTTAGCAAAATACAGAGAAGTCTGAAATTCTCTCCTATGCAAAATAAATTATATGCTATTATTTACTAGTTTTTAATAATCAAGGCTTAGTTCAGCATTTTGAAATGTATATATGATGATTTTATTCCCATCAGTTCTTCCAGTAGCCTAAGCTTCAATTGCAAACTTTGAACAGAAGTGAATTGCTTTGCAATTTTAGAAAGAGCTAGGCTACTGTCTCCTGTTTGCTTCTTTTTTTTTCCCCCAAAGTGAATCATCATCAGGATAATAGAGTCACGCCAAGTGCAGAGCTGTGCACCTGTGTTCCCAGCTAGTTGAGATACTAGATTGGGAAGATTGCTTGAGCTCAGAAGTTTGAGACCAACCTCAGCAGTCTAGTGAGGCCCTGTCTCTAAAAAATAAGAAAAAAGAATAGGGTCTCTATCATTGAGGTATTTTAAAAATACATTTTATTTTTAGAACAGTTTTACATATATAAAAAAACAAAACTGCACAGAAAGTATAGAAAGTTCCTATAAACCACCCAGGCACACATGGTTTCCTCTATTACTGACATCTTGCACTAGTGTGGTACATATGTAACATTAATAAACCAGCATTGATACATCATTACTAACCAAAATCTGTTATGTACATTAGTGGCCACTCTTTGTGTTTTGCGTTTTATGTGTTTCAGCATATGTATAATGTCATGTATCCATCATTACAGTATTAGAATAGTTTCACTGCCCTAAAGATCCCCTGTGCTCTACCAACTCTATCAGTCTCCTGGAAGCCACTGATCTTTTTACTGACTCCATAGTTTTTCCGTTTCCAGAATGTCATATGGTTGGAATCATACAGCCTTGTCATACTGGCTTCTTTCACTTAGCAATGTGAATGCAAGGTTTCTTTATATCTTTTCCTGGTCTGATTGGTCATTTTTTAAAATTACTCAATAGTATTTCATTTTATGGATTTACCAAAATGTTTATCCATTCATCTATTAAAGTATATTTTGGTTGTTTCAAAGTTTTAGGCTGGGCATGGTGGCTCACACCTGTAATCCTAGCACTTTTGGAGGCCAAGGTGGCTAGTCACTGAGATGGGCAGATCACTTGTGGTCAGTATTTCAAGACCAGCCTTGCCAACATGGTGAAACCCTGTCTCTGCCAAAAAATACAAAAATTAGCCAGGCATGGTGGCACATGCCTATAGTCCTAGCTATTTAGGAGACTGAGATGGGAGGATCACTTGAACCTGGAAGGCAGAGGTTGCAGTGAGCTGAGATCATGCCATTTCACCCCAGCCTGGGCAACAGAGCGAAACCCTGACAAAAAAAAAAAAAAAGTTCTAGAAATTATGCATAAAGCAGCTGTAAACTTTAATGTGCCGGCTTTTTTTGTGGACAGAAGTTTACCTAGGAGTGTGACTGCTGGATCAAAGGGTAAACCCATATTTAGCTTTGGAGAGTATTATTTCATTCACTCACCCAGTCCACACAGTTGATGAGGGGTCTCTGCGTGCTGGAGATAAATACAGCGCAGCTGCTATCCTTAAGGAGATAGAGACAGAAACAAATGCATAAACAATTAGCTATAATTCCATGTGGTAAGTAAACAACCTTGGTGGGGTTAGACAAAATGCTGTATGGAAGTAGTATGGAGTGATTAACTTCATCCTGTAAGAAAATGTGTTACATAGACAGTAGTGTTTGTCACCTCATGTCCTCACTCGTTAAGTGGGTGTTGAACAGTGAGAATACATGGACACAGGGAGGGGAACATCACACACTGGGGCCTGTTGCGGGGTGGAGGGGTTAGGGGAGGGATGGCAAGGGGTTGGGGCATTGGGGAGGGCTAACATTGGGAGAAACAGCTAATGTAGATGACGGGGATGGATGCAGCAAAGCATCATGGCACGTGTATACCTATGTAACAATCCTGCATGATCTGCACATGGACCCCAGAAAAAAAAAAAAAAAAAAAAAAAAAAAAAAAAAAAAAAAAAAAAAAAAAAAAAAAAAAAAAAAAAAAAAATTTTTTAAAAAATAACATAAAAAAAAAAAAAAAAAAGAAAGTAGTGTTTGATAGTGCTGGCCTAAAAGAGGCCTAGAATTTCTTTAGGTTTATATTTCTCAACCTTTAGCGGGCATCAGAATCACTAGGAAGGTCTGTGAAAATAGCTTCCAGGACTCCCCCCCAGAGTTTCTGATGCAGTAGCTCTAGGATTGGGCTCACCATCCTCACTAATTTCCAGGTGAAGGTGATACTATTAATCCAGGGACCACATTTTGAGAACCATATGTTTAGGTAGAAAAAAGGAGTGAGACAGAGTAATCATGCACAAAGAAAAACTAGGGCAGTAGTAATAAGTTCCTTGACAAAATATATCCTTAAGACATCACTTCTTATAAAAGACACCAGTCTGGTAGAGATGTGAGCAGCAGTGCCCGGTGACACTCTAGTGGTTCTGCAGAATAAAAGAAGAAAGAATACAATCTTTCCTCTACAAGAGTCTGAAGAAGGTGGTAAAATTAGAAGTAAGTCTGACAACTGTCAAATATGAAATATGTAAAAACAGGTCCATGATAGATAAAGTAATATATTTCAGAGCTAAGACCCCAATTTATGTTGTAAACACTTTGATACTTTACATTGCTTGAGTTGTATTTTTTCACTATCTGGACTATGTAAATGGCATCAAAAATATTATCAGATTCTGAAGCAAAATATTCAGATAGAACATCTTCTGTCTTCCCTCCTACACTCCTTTTCTTCCCACCTTGCCCTTTCCTTCTGCATGTATGAAGTACACACTGGTCAGATAGAATACATGCTAGAAACAGGGAAATGAAAGGTGACTAAGACAGTCTACAGCTGAAAAGATACACAAACATGAGAAGAGAAAGGTAAGAGTTTATACTTTCTCCATGCATAGCAGATCTATAGAGTAGTGCATTCATAAAACCTGACATATTTACTTCATTAAGTTTGGAGGATTGAAATAAAGTGAAACCTTGCATGTCTTCATAATCCGTAGAAGGCTCTGTTCTGCCTTGTTAAACAAAGTAGAACTTTCAGCATATAGATAATGTGCTTCTGTCCATTTTGCCTCTTGAAGTCCATTCCAAGCCTGATTGTTTTTCTCAGAGTAAGTTGTCGTCATCTTCAGGAGTGTCTAAAATATTAGACCGTACATAGGTCATTTGTTAATTCAACACATTTACTGAACATTTCATGCAGCTATTTATAGATGGTTGAACACAAGAGTCTGAAGTTTAGAGGACAGTTTAAAAGACAGTTTAGCTATGATCATATAAATGTTCTTCAGAATCACTGATTTCAATAATATTTTATGGGTAGAGAGTGGGAAGGTACAAAGAGAAGGGGCCTAGCATAAAGCTTTACATAGTCCCAAAAGTACAGACTGAGCAATATGGACAAAATAGCAGAAGGAAAAGAGGTAGCCCAAATGAAGAAGAAAACCCAGAGAACACGGCATGAAAAAAGACAAAGACAGAGTTTCAAAAGGTGGTCATGTAAGGTGAAGTCTACAAAAAGCTCTTTGCAACTGCTGATGTGGGGATGATGCCTTTATTCAAAGCAGATTCTATGGGATGGGGTGATAACCAGATTAGAGGATGCGGAGAGGGGAATGGTTTATAAGGGTGGGAGACGGGGTTAGAGCCAACTCTTTAGGTGTCTTGCTATGCAAAGGAGGAGAAAGAGATCCTTTTTTTTTTTTTTTGTTAGTTATTTTTTTTTCATTTGATTCTTTTTTCTTTGAAGGAGGGATCTGAGTACCATTTAAATGCTGATGGAAAGATAGAATAGAGGAACGGTGGTTGAAGATACAGAGGAAAGAAAAGAAAAAGATAGTATAAGGTTAATGAGAAGGAGTAAGGTGAACAATTCAGGGACCAGGAAGAAGCACTAGGCTTAGAAGAGAGGATGATCACATTTCAAAATAGCTTAAAAAAAAGGATTTTAAGCATTTTCACCACAAAGAAATGATTAATATTTGAGGTGATGGATATGCAAGTTAGCCTGATTTGATCATTCTACAGTTTACACAT